TCTCCCCCCGCAGCCCCATCACCACCGCATCAACGGTGCGGCCCCGTTTGAGTCGCGGAGGATAGGGCGAGTGGCGCATCGCCACACCAACACTCCTCTTCCTCCGCGACTCCACCTCGGCTGCAGCGGTAGAGGGTGCGGAGTCCCCACTCGCTGCAGTCCACCAGCACATATCCGAAGTGGGCTCTCCAAGCCCACTCGGAGTGGCCACCTCAGGCCGGCCCTTCACCTCGGGCCAGCCACGTGGGTTCCTCTTTGTTCACCGTGGGAGACCAAGCCACGGCTACTAAGCCCCCCCGCCACGACAAGGCGGGAACCCGTTCGGGGGGGATCGAAATGATCCTCACAACAATATGCTACCGTGTTTGGTCCTAAAGGATGTGTTCTTCTCATAGCATTTGTCCATTTTTTTCTGATGGTAGGGTTTCTAGGCACATTAAAAAACAACTTTTCAGGTGTTTTTATGGCCGTATTTTTACATTGAGGCACAGCACAATATTTAATAGATGGTGTCATGTTCTATAATGTTTCTTGTTAAAAATAGAGAGCAAGTAGATCCGCGCGCGACGGGCACATTCGAGTAAATGTTTTGATTTTCTAAGTGCGCGTCGGGTCACTCGCACGAAGATGGAAATCGTGAAGTCATCGACGATGTCGCGCTCGGTTCGCGGCTTAGACCGAAAATGTTAACTTTGCGCCATTATATCTCGGTCAGTTTTGAAGATAGAAAAAAATTAAAAACACAGTTATTCTCGTAATTTTTTGTAGAATTTTTTGGCATATAAAACAAAAATGGTTATCTTCTCCATTGCAGCTATGAATGCGGCTCTGAGCCGCATCTGTGAATGGTCTGCATCCTTCGGACTATGAGTTAATCCCACGAAATCTCAGGCCATCATAATAGGCAGCAGGCATTTGCGTAATAAATTAGAATTTACATCACTACCTCTCGTTTGTTTTAGTGGCGTTCCTATACCCTTTGCAAATACTGTCAAAAACTTAGGCGTCATATTTGGTCACCATTTATCATGGACCACGCATATCGCTGAGGTTAGTCGTAAGGTCCACTTTACCGTGCATTCGCGCTTAAATGTCTGCAAAATTTCTTACCACTAAAAGCTAAAATATCACTCGTGCTTACTGTTTTCCTACCTCTCCTTGATTATGCAGATGCCTGTGATTTGGATGCTATACAGGAGTTCCTTAATAAACTTGAGCGCTTGCAAAATCAGTGTATCCGTTTTATATTTGGGCTCGTTCGTCGTTTTATAAGTGGCTCCCAATTCGACTTCGAAGGAACACTCGATTGTTATGTCTACTCTATAACATCTTGCACAACCCTTCCTATCCCATATACCTCAGAAGCCGAATTTTCTTCACATATCCTCTGGATAAACCATGCAGATCCCTCGTTAAAACTCTTCTTAATTTTCCTGTCTATAAGATAAGGTGCTTTATTTGTTAAAATATGGTGCATTGTAGTTGTTACAAAATAATTTCGATCCTAAATATTTTGCAGTTTCCGGCGTACACGTATTTTCAGATAGATTATTTTACGATAAAGTAGAAAATTAAGACATTAATTAACATTATGGAAACCAAATCTATATAAAACGTAGGATCAAAGAAACATATCCATAATAGGCAGAGAGTGCGCCCTCCATGTTAGCCACTCGTCTTAAGAGATATAAAACAAAGACAAATTTATCTATCTTTTTACATAGGTTATCAATATGTCTTCCAATTACAGAACTCCATGATCCACTTTTTCGATAACGTTATTCCCATATTCAATTTTAAGTGGTCCTTGTTTACTATTATATGTCTGAAATCTTATCATCTTAGTTTTTCTGCTGTTAATTTGGTGGCCACCATTTTTTTTTGCAACACTCCGTGAACGAACAATTTTTGTTGGCTTTAACTCATTTTCGAACGCCCAAACTCGTGACTGGTTATTTGTTTCGGGTTCGTATCCATATATCCAGGATTTGTAACCTGATACGATGTTGTATACAGCCTTTGAGGATCCTGCGTGAAATCTTTCGAGAGTTCTGACGCACCAAGTAACGCGAGCCGCTTTTTGCTCTTCACAGAGCGAATGCGGTATCCATCTGGAAAACAACTTTTTTACACCTAATTGTTCATGCAAGATTATTTGTATTTGACTCATGCCAATGTCTAAAATTCCCTGTATTTCGCGGTATGTCACATGTCGATCTTCCTCAATCAGCTTACGCACAGCATCAACGTTTTCTTGGGTGACTGCAGTTTTTGGACGACCTTGACGGGGATCATCACTGAGCTTGACACGTCCACGTTGAAATTCAGAATGAAGCCCCATCCAAAACGACAAATTGTGGTTTTGGATGGGGCTTCATCACCAAATACAGAAATCATCCGGTCAACACACTGTTTTTGTGTTAAACCACTTTGAAAGTCATAATAAATCATCGCTCTTGAATTTTCTCGAGTCAATTCCATTTTCTCAACGACTAAACAAGTTTGACAAAACCTTGTGACAAGACCGAGAATCTTTTTTTAAATAGATAAATGGTATTCGATTTTTAAAACCAAGGAGTTTTCAATTAAAAAGATTTTAATATGACAAGAACAGTGGAAATATTCCATTCCCGATACTTTTAGTGCGGCCTAGTACAATTACAAAGATCGTTTATATAAGATTATAAATAATAGAGGTCCTAGTATACTTCCTTGTGGCAATCCGCATTTATTTTGGCAATATTGTGGTCTATAATTTTTTCTACAGTGTCCTGAGTAACTTGATATTGTTTTCGTTGACTTAAATCTTGTATTAAAAATATAATTCCGGTTTTTACTCCTACTCCTTTTCAGTTCACGCGGTAAGGTTATGGAACTCACTTTCATCTAATATAAGAAATTCCGAAACTTTATTAATATTTAAATAACGTCTTAGAGATAACTTCTTTACATCATGTTAATTAATATATTTTATTCTATTATATTAGTTTATATATATCATATGTAACTATCGTATTTGTTATTTTTATGTATTGATTTATATTATAGGAGTCGCAGGAAGTATAATAATACACTTGATTACTTGTTGTTTACTTTACTAGTTCACAACTCGAATAGCCAGTCAATAATTATTGCAATCGTTTAAATAATATTACACAATGGTGGTAGCATATCCCTACTACCTATCAAAACTGAACACAGCAACAGTTTGAATGTGTAAGAATTATACAATCCAAATACTTTTATAATATGAAAATAAATAAAACGCTGTTATAAATATTACTGATAATTGAATTAATTACAAATGTTTAGAAAATGAAAATACTTATATAATACTCTTTGTAAACACCTCAAATTCTAAATTAAGAATAAACTGAGAAAATTATCTATGATAATTATTATGACAATACAATGACTAATAATATATTTTATATTTGATAGTTAAAAAATAATATAACAGCAAAACGATAATTATACATATATTATTTATAACGATCCATAATAGAAACTACGTAAAAATCACTGATAACATTCGGCCACCCTGATTCACGCCGTGCCCCACGGCAATTTTCAAAGTGCGTTCGGTAATCATTTGGCAGCATTTGATGCATTGACTTATATATTACTATCGTAAGGACCGGGCCAACCGAACAACAATAACGGACCAGTGCGTTGGCCCTAAAATTACAGTTTAGGGCCAACGTGAATCGGTGGACAGTAGTGCGCGCGCATGACAGATTTGCCTGTCACAAATATGTCTAGTTGTATGGTAAAAGAATGCAAAAATTACGATATAAAGATTAAAAAGGAACATGGGATATCGTATCATCGGTAAGTAGCCTTATATTAATTTTGTTACAATTAAATTATTATATAATTGCCTTTTTAAAGTTTTATTTTACAGTTAGTTCAGTTACGTTACCATCTTACCAAGATTAGGCCAGGGTTGGATTCCGACCCTCAAAATATTGTACATGGAATATGAAATTATACTATTTAAAAAAATTATATCACGTTTGACGTTTCGTGTTTATTTTTTCCCATGTGCCGGGATTTTGGCGTCACTCGTCTAGTTTATCTATAACATTCGTTTTTTGACGGTTTTATTTTTGTCTAAAAAACTTAGTGTAAGTTAAATTTTGAATATTGGTACCTAATATATTTTATATTCAATAAGGATAAAACGAAAATAGTACAATAGAAACCATATTTGCTTAATTGAATCTGAAAATCTGATTCATAAAATATTTTGAAATTCTATTTTCAAACCGATTGCTTCTGGTGCTGGCTCTGGTAGAGTTTTTATGGTGGTAGCCCTTCATTATAGTTACGTTACGTTTAGTACGTATACGTTTCGTTTTTTGACGGTTTTATTTTTTTTTTGTTTAATTTTTGTCTAAAGAACTCAGTGTGAGTTAAATTTTGAATATTGCCACCTAATATATTTTATATTCAACAAATATAATAATAAGTGTAAAACGAAAAGAGTACAAAAGAAACCATATCTGCTCATTGAATCTGAAAATCTGATTCATAACATATTTTGAAATTCTGTTTTCAAACCGATTGCTTCTCTAGCATAGAGATTTTATCGTGGTAGCCTCTCATTATAGTTGTATACAGGATGCAACATGAATGGATCGATCGAGCATCGATTGACCAGAAAGGGAGCTAATTCTATTTTTTTTTTAAAAACAGGGTACTCGTGTACAATACGTAAATTCTCGATATCGTAGGGTTAATATTAAAATGTAAAATGGGCCAATAATAATACAAGTCGACCTTTAGGTAAAATTATGGTATTTTCGCTTAGTATTATTACGATACTATGTACTACAAACTATGAAAATAGGTACAATTAGGATAATTATACTACGAAATCCGACCCTGGTTACGTCGTGTTTTGATATGACGTTTGTATTATGACAGATGCGCTACTTTTTCTTGTATGAAAAAGTTATGAGTAAAATATTTAGATAGGCCTATCCTTACTTTTGAAATCATTGATTTGATGTTGAAGTTTTCATAACAAAGCTTGAAGGAGTTCCCTTGCTGAGCCATGTACTAGCCCCTGAAGCTGGTTTGCCATCTTGTGGTGTCAATTGTAGTCGCTCTTTCTGTAATGAAAGAAACGGAAAAAATGTGTACAAAAATTAATTGTTCCATAAGCAATTTTTGTCCGTAAGAAGTGGTAAAATTAAAAATGCTGTACAACCAACTTCAATATAAATAAAATGAGGACACCATCAAAGTATTCGAAGTTAGTTAAAAACGAATTATTAAGATAGGTAACTGAAAAATTACCGGTCAGATCTTGATCGAATATAGGACTACACGAGAAGCACCAGCTTTCAAATAAAAAACATAATCATGAAAATTGGTTCACCTAGAAAATTTTACTGAGGTAAGACACAAAAAAAAAGAACATACATTCGAATTTTAAGTACCTCCTTTTTGAAGTCGATTAAAACGCATTACATTAATCTTTTCCACAGAAAAATGCACACAGTCAGGTAAACATATTTATTGAATTCAACTCTTACATGATTTTTTCTTGATTGCTGGGTATTTTATTTTTGGACTTCTTTAGAGAGATCAAACTTAGCAAAGACGAAAAAACGTTTGTGACATACGAGGCATATATAGAACTCGCACACAACTTTAGTATGGTTTTACAAACAGCAGGACATTGTTTAATACATAGTTTAGTTTATTATTGCACGTAGCTTAGTTTATTGTACATAGCTTATTTTATTGTTGCACATAGCTCTTTTTATTGCACATAGCTCTTTTTGTTGCACATATCTCTTTTAATTGCACATAGCTCTTTTTATTGCACATAGCTATTTTTATTGCACATAGCTCTTTTTGTTGCACATAGCTCTTTTTATTGCACGTATCTTTTTTTGTTGCACATAACTCTTTTTATTGCACATAGCTCTTTTTATTGCACATAGCTCTTTTTATTGCACATAGCTCTTTTTATTGCACATAGCTCTTTTTATTGCACATAGCTCTTTTTATTGCACGTAGCTCTTTTTATTGCACATAGGCTCTTATTATTGCACATAGCTCTTTATTAATGTGCAATAGCTTCTTATGCACATGCACATAGCTCTGTTATATAAGTACTTCAATTTTTGCACACAGTTGTAATAAATTATGACGTAGCAATTAACTTATTCTTTGCACGTACGAAGGTTATCGCTGCACACACTCAGATAAATTAAGTAAAACAAAAAATAAATTAATAACTGCTTAGAGTAATGTTGTGCGTGTATGTAATTTTTATAAGGTAAAAGTATATTGTAAGAAGTACACATAGCTCTGTTACATAGTTACTTCAATTTATGTATGCAGTTATAATAAATTATGAAGTTGCAATTAACTTATTCTTTGCATATACGAAGGTTATCGCTGCTCACACTCAGATAAATTAAGTAAAATAAAAAATTGATTAATAACTGCTTAGAGTAATGTGTGCGTATGTAATTGTTATAAGGTAAAAATATATTGTAAGAAGTGCACATAGCTCTGTTATATAGCTGCTTCAATTAATACGCGCAGTTATAATAAATTATGAAGTTGCAATTAACTTATGCTTTGCATATATGAAGGTTACTGGGTTTTGCACACACTCAGATAAATTAAGTAAAATAAAAATAGATTAATAACTGCTTAGAGTAATGTGTGCGTATGTAATTGTTATATAGTAAGAAGCGCACATAGCTTTACCTCGCGATCATCAAGACGTAGCTGCCGTATTCATTAATTTAATTATCACACGGAACAATAATTCACTTTACCAAAAGGTCATTAAGCTCTTTGGCCAAAATAGATAATACACATAACTGAAATTTGAATCATTAGAAATACTCTCTTCGGTACAACACAACATCATAAAACAGGTAAAAATCAAAAATTAATTAACATAGACTAATATACAATACTGGAGATTAATTAATTAATTGCGCTGTCCAGGTAATAGCGAGAGTAATACTGATCTACAATAACTAATAAGAAGAGTGAACTATGAAAGTGAATGTCATAGTAATACCTATGAAGCCGACATTGACTTAATTAATTTTTTTTTCACAATGTAATTACTGCAAAACAACTTTATAGGAAATATGCATAAGCCATTCAACCCAATAAGGAAATGTGAAACTAAATACAACTCTAATCTCATCTTTTCTTTAAGTCATAGGTTAAATGGACTATAATTGCAAGATTTTAAACACTTCGTAGCAAGTTTGTAGCCTATACAGGGTTACTGGTAACTCGACGTATTCCCGCCAAGGCGTGATAGTTGGGGTCATAACCTATCAAATGAACCATAAAATGCATTATGCAAATGTGGACCAATTTCGAGATATTTAGGTCGCTGGTGTCAAAAATTTCTAAAAAAAAACTTACAGCTGCATTATTTTAATTATTATTATTTTTACTTAATGAAAACCTGGATACCGTAAAACGTGGCAACTTTGCCCGCTTTTTATGCGTTACTCTAATTTAATTTAAAATTATAAACATATTTAATAAAATACTTGCAATAAGTAGTAGAATATGTTTCTAGGTTTACTTAAATTTGAAAATTACTATATTAAAAATGGTTATACTTGCAAAGAAAGTTAATTTAGAACGTGGGCCAAATATTTAAAAAAATGGCCATGTTTGCCCACTTGACATGGTAACACAGTAGCTTCGATATTTTGATCTTTATATTAAGTGGTTTAAGAAGTATAATAAAAAAACGGTGCAATGTTGCACTGTATCATATAAGAAACCACTACACGTACTTAACGGCCACAAAAATGGAGTGGGAAAAGTTGCCAAGCCTTTTTTTAACATTCTGCATACAAACGAAAGTATGCACTAGGGTTGTCACTATTTAAGACATTGTATTGCACAAATAGCCGTTTTATACTCTTGGTACCAAGTAAATAATATAAACGCAAACTACTAACAGTCTATTAATTATTTAATGGTAGTTAACATACAGAAATAGTAATCATATATTCTCATCGTCAGTAGAAAGCGAGAAGTGCTAAGGCACCAAACTGTTCGGTAGTTTTGAGGAATGATTAGAGTAATGACGAGTAATGGAAACAGTTTTATTTTTATATAGCTATTTAATCAAACAAAAGACTTGACACGTAGTTAAATCTGATTCATATGAGTTGCATCATATAATCAACTATGAATTGAAATAAATTAATCGACATTGGCTTTGAGAAAGCTACAACAAAAGGGTACTTAATAATGAATCTTAACTTAAAATCAAACTTATACAAAATAAATAAAAATGTTATTGAGATTAGCATCATAAAAATAATGTAATCTTGAGATCAACAAATAAACGCAAAAGATTATAAAAAATGAATAAAATTATTACCTACATCTGATACTCTCAGATTTACTCATGTTATCAATGCGTGAACCTAGTTACTCATGTGGTAGAAGGAGTAAATTTTTTTTTTTTTTTATAGAAGAGGGGGCAAACGAGCATGTGGCTCACCTGATGTTAAGTGACTACCGCCGCCCATGATCAACCGCAATACCAGGGGAATTGCAGGTGCGTTGCCGGCCCTTTAGAAAGGAGTAAGCTCTTTTCTTGAAGGTCCCCAGGTCGTATCGGTCCGGAAAAATCACCGGTGGTAAATTATTCCACAGAGAGGTTGTACGCGGAAGAAAACTCCTTTTGAAACGTACAGTGGTGGACCGCCAAGCATCCAGATGGTGTGGATGGTATCGGGACGTTTGCCGTGTAGTGCGTTCACGAAATTTGGCGGCTGGGATTAATCCGAACAATTCCTCAGAGCACTCCCCGTGATAGATGCGATAAAATACGCAAAGAGATGCAACATCTCTTCGCAGCGCCAGTGAATCGAGCCGATCGGAAAGCACTCGGTCGTCGACGATTCGAGCCGCTCTGCGCTGGATGCGGTCAAGTGGAAGGAGCTGGTACTGGGGAGCCCCAGCCCAGAGATGGGAACAGTATTCCATGAGCGGCCGAACCTGCGCCTTGTAAAGTTGCAAGCGGTGTGCCGGCATGAAATACTGTCCCGCTCTGCTGAGCACGCCAAGCATTTTAGAGGCTAATTTGGCCTTCCCTTCCAAGTGACCACGAAACTGCACGTCACTCGATATGTCGAGGCCGAGGATTCCGATACTGGCTGAGGCAACAAGGGGAGTGCCTTGAAACTGAGGGGATACGACAAAGGGGTTCTTTTTAACGCGCAAACTTGTGTCTTCTGGGGGTTAAACTGGACTAGATTTAGTCGCCCCCAATCCGAGACTCTGTCCAGCAGAGACTCGACTTCAGACACAAGTTTGTCCCGGCACTCAGAGACGTTTTCCCGAGAAATATTGGCTCGGCCGGTGTAAAGAGCATCACCAGTGCTGTCATCCGCATAGCAATGAATGCTACGGGTTTGCAACATATCATTGATATGCAGAAGAAACAGCGTTGGCGATAGCACGCAGCCCTGTGGAACACCAGCATTAATAAGCTTGCAATCGGAGCTTGCACCGTCTACAACGACCTTGATGCTCCGATCTGCAAGAAAACTGGTGATCCAATCGCACAATTTCTCGGGAAGCCCATAGGAAGGGAGCTTCGAAAGAAGCGCTTTGTGCCAAACCCGATCGAAGGCCTTCGCAATGTCCAAACTAACGGCCAATGCCTCCCCCTTGGACTCTACTGCCTCCGCCCATCTGTGAGTTAGGTAGACCAGAAGATCACCAGCTGACCTACCACGGCGAAAACCGTATTGGCGGTCACTAATCAGCTGGTGATCCTCAAGGTACCTCATGAGCTGGCAGTTTACAATGGACTCCATTGTTTTGGAGAACAAGGAGGTGATGGCGATAGGCCGGTAGTTGGACGGGTCTGAGCGGTCGCCTTTTTTAGGGATCGGGTGGACGAAAGCCGTCTTCCATGATTTTGGGACTACGCCTAGGGAGTAGGAGTACCGGAAAAGACGCGTTAAAACCGGTGCCAACTCTGGAGCACACGTCTTCAGCACAATTGGGGGGATTCCATCAGGCCCACTCGACTTATGGATGTCCAGGGAGAGGAGTGCTTTGCGAACCGAGCGCTGAGTGAACTGCAATTCCGGCATGGAGCACTCACACCGCGGGATGGTCGGCGGTGTACTCCCCCCGTCATCGAGAGTCGAGTTAGACGCAAAGAAAGAGCCTAGAAGATCGGCTTTCTCCTTTGCGGTGTGGGCCAGTGAGTCGTCCTCCCTGTGCAGAGATGGAAGAGATGGCTGACAGAAATTCCCCTGGACAGCCTTGGCGAGAGACCAGAATGCACGGGTTCCAGAAGGAAGACGAACTAGTCTCTCGCCAATTCTGCCTATATGCTCTGACTTTGCCTTGGCAATGACTCTTTTGAAGGACCTAGAGGCGGAATTATACTTCTTTTTTAGAGCGCTGGTGTTTACATCCCTGGACGCTGATGCGTCAGCCCAGGCTCGCTAGCACTCCTGCTTATAGCATGATGCTATTTTACAGGAGCGACCAAACCATGGCTGAGATTTGCCTCCAATGGGCACCACAGAGGAAGGAATAAAAAGTTCCATACCCTGAAGTACCACATCAGCGACAGAATCCGCAACAACGTTGGGATCATCCGGCGAGAAGCAAACCCGCCCCCAAGGGTAGGATGCAAAGAAAGACCGCATCCCATCCCAATCAGCTGACCTATAGTGCCAAACACGGCGGCAGCCTGCAGAATGCAACCGCGATTTCAGCGTGAGTGGCACCACACTCCGGACAAGATAATGGTCCGAGGAGCCTAAAGGGGCGTCGACGGAAATCTGATATCCGTCCGGGTGAGAGGTCAGCAGAAGGTCCAACAGGGAAGGTGCATGATCCTCCACATCTGGAATCCGCGTAGGCAAAGTAACCAGTTGTGTCAGACCATATGCCAAGGCAAAATCATGAACAGATCTCCCCGCATGATCGGTTAAACGTGAACCGAGCCATTCGGCGTGATGGGCGTTAAAGTCGCCGAGGATCACGATCTCTGCGGAGGGGATCTGCTGTAGCAACGAATCTGCAGCCATTTGGACGTGGTCGAAGAGTCGGTCTGTTTCGGCATTACCGCTATGGGACCTATAGAGGCACCCGTAGACGCGCGGATGGTCGTCGCTGTCTACGCGTAGCCAAAGGATGGACAGGTCCGAACCTTCAAGTCTGCCGAGGCGTCGAGAACAGATGTCCTCTCTGACGTAAACGCAAACTCCAGCCCGAGGCACAAAGGAGTGTTCCAGTTTGTACCCCGGACAGGAGAGATACGAGACATCAGCCGGAGAGGACACCTGCGTCTCGGTCAGAAAGAGCAGAGCCGGCCTCGCCGTCTCGAGATGGTAGTGGACGGCGTTTAGGTTAGAGTGAAGTCCCCTGATATTGCAGAAATTCACGGACAGCGTGGCAGGGGTCGCCTTGGTCTTGTTGCTCCGTTTGCCCCGAGCAGTTTTAGTCTTGAGCGGAATATTGCCCCCCCCCAGAATACGCGGGGCAGCCTGAGCACCCACGCTCAGAAGTGGAGAAACATGGTCGTGGATGCTCAGCGAGGGATTCTCCAGGGGTGCTGGTACCCTCCTGGGGTAGTCTATCATTTAATTCCGCTACCATGTTGATGGGGGGGGGGGGAATTGGGCCTCCGGCCACCTGCACTCACCAGACAAAACGCGGAAGCAGAGCTTCCACTTCACGCCGGTATTCTGTGAGGTCGTGGTACCACACCGGTTTGAGCCGGCCCACGGCGACAGCAAAGCTGCCGCGTGGCTCTACCACTGTTGAAAATTTAATGACGAATTAAATAATTTATTATTATTATTATTTAGGGGTATCTATATAGTTTTCTCATCTGGTTGGGTGCTATAAATATATAATTATAAATGAAAATGAAAAGACAAATATACATAAATATCAATAACATAAAATAAATATAAAAGTACATAAATAAATAAAAGCCCAACCAGATGGAGGCCCTCGGCAGGGGAGACCAAACGGCCGAGGGTTAGGGGGAAAGGGAAAGAAACCGGCGGACGATGCGGGCGGTATCGAGGAGCACCGCCTTCTGCATTTGAACCTGGAGCGGTCCGCCACGTAGTCCCAGCCGCCTCAGATGACCCGAGAGGCTGACTGGGATTAGCCCGTTTGCAGAGACGACTACAGGAATAATTTCGGTCGGCAGACCACCCCACATGTCGGTCACCTCGTGAGCCAGGTCCAGATATTTTGTTTGCTTGTCTGTTTCGGCTTTCACGAGGTTCTCGTCATACGGAATGGTAATGTCGACCAAAAATATCCTTGACTGTGCCCGGTCCATCAGCACAATATCAGGCTTATTCGCAAGAATAGTCCTGTCTGTGATGATGGCCCGGTCCCAATAGAGCCTGGCGCGATCATTTTCGAGCACGGCTTCCGGCAAGTACTTGTAATACGGCAATTTCCGATCCACGAGACCGTATTTCAGAGCGAGCTCCTGGTGTAGAATTCTGGCTACTAGGTTGTGCCTGTGCCAGTACTCAGAGTTAGAAAGCGCCGAACAACCGGAGATAACATGCCTAAGTGACTCACCGGGATGGCGACAAGCTCGACAGATGTCGACGGTGCCATCCTTTAGGATGTATCTCCGATAGTTGTTGGTCTTAATAACCTGATCCTGTATTGCACAGACAAAACCCTCGGTTTCCCCCGAAGAGATCACCAAAGCGTAGCCAGTGGAGGGAGGCTACTGTGTCTACGAAAGGCTCATGTAGAGCCTTGTAGAACCTCCCGTGGAGCTCCTTCTCCTTCCATACGGTCTCCCGGTCGGAAATGCTCTGCACTGCCGGGTCTTGCCATTGCTCGTTGGCTAAGGATAGAGGGGTAAGTCCTTTATCACAAGAAATGACGTCCTTATAGAATGGATCATCCGATCTCGCCAGGAAGTAATCACGGAGGCTGCACACTTCGCGATTATGCATGGTGAGCGCGCTCAAGAAGCCACGACCACCATGCTTCCGCGGCAAGTACAGCCTCATTACCGACGATCTCGGATGATGCATCCTATGGGACGTCATTGTAGTGCGGACTTTTCTATCCAGGGCGTTAAGTTCAGTCTGAGTCCACCTGAGTATGCCAAAGGTATACATGAGGACAGGCATGACCCAGCCGTTATATGCGTGTGCCTTATTCACACCGGACAAAAGGCTGTTAAGCACTTTGGTCAAGCGTGCATAAAACACGTCGCAAACTGACTGTTTCATACCAGTCTCATCGATACCGATGTTTTGTGACATACCCAGGTATCGGTATGTTTCAGCCTCGGAAAGGGTCCTTAAGTTGACGGGCATAGATAAGTCTACGCCCTCAGAGTTAGCAACCCTTCCCCTTTCAACATGGAGGACCGCACACTTATCCGTCCCCAGCTCCATTCCAATGGAATTGCTAAATTCACAAGTGATGTTTAGCAATTCCATAAGATGGGAGCGACTGGAGGCGAATAACTTGAGGTCATCCATATAGAAAAGGTGGGTCACTTTTGTCCCTCCTTTCCGTAGCTGAAATCCCCTCCCGGAGCCCTCCAGTAAGGTACTGAGAGGGTTCAGAGAGAGGCAGAACCAGATTGGACTCAGACAATCGCCCTGGAAGATACCCCTTCTTATCCTTATGTGGTTCTCCGCAGCCATCATCCGCTCGCCTAGATGACAAAGGATCGTACTCCACTGCCCCATACACTGCTCGAGGAAGTCTCTAACTGTACAGTCTATCTTGTACAGCTCGAGGACTCTCTTTAGCCATGTATGGGGCACCGAGTCGAATGCCTTTCTGTAGTCTATCCAGGCGGCGGAGAAGTTCCGACGGTTGCGTTTCACCACTTTGCCAATGACCGCGTCAATGAGGAGTGGTTCCTTGGTTCCACGACCACCGCCCCGACATCCATTTTGAGCGCGCGACATCACCTGATTTGAGTCCAGGTGACAAGTGATTCTCGCGCTCAAAATGGATGTTAGTGTCTTGTCTATGGTCGGTAGACACGTGATGGGGCGGTATTTGCTCGGGTCTGTGGTACCCTGGTCTTTAGGAACTAAATGAGTGATCCCAGTAGTGAAGAGGCTTGGGAGCGACTTCTGGTTGAGAGCCTCTTGAAACTGTCGGGCGAGCACAGAGTGACACACCATGAACCCCTTCAGCCAGTAGTGATGCAGCCCGTCAAGCCCCGGACTTTTCCAGTTCGGGGCCCTACGAACCGCCTCAGCTACGTCATCCGGCGTTATGATGACGGGGTCCATGGGCGTAATACCCGCACACTGACTCGCCACAACTTCCGTCCAAGGGCCCTCGCTGTGGTTTACGGGCTCTGACCACAGGCCGCGCCAGAATGCTACAGTGTCGGCCTGATTCGGTGCTGGACCCGTTCCACTTACCATTGGTCGCTCCAATGATTCATAGAGCCTCTTCTGATCACTCTGGAAGAGACGATTCTGGTTGAACCGTGTCGACCTCTCGGTATATCGCCGAATCCGCTTTCCCCAAGCAGCGATTCTCTGCTTCAGATCATCTATGCGCTCCGTCAGTTTTTGCGTTATATCCGGCTGGGACAAACTGACATTTGTCCTAGCAAACGCCATCCTGACGGTGCGCACAATTCTTGGCCTGTTGTTGCCTGATCTGAAGCATATCAGTCTGCCGATGAGAGCTCTAGCCTTTGCGATACGTTCCTCAATTCTTCTTCTCCATGCTGGGATAGCGCTACTATGGCCAGTAGCGCGTCCAGCCGTGGAAACCTTGGCGCCTATGATACGGCAGACTGCCAGCGCGGCGCCAAAAAGAATTGAGTCCGTCTCGCAAAGGTCCCGGCTGGCTTCCAAATAGGTAACCAGCATTGGGTTCAGAGCCCTCACGACAGCCCGATTCCGCTTGCTTAGGGCTATGCGGGGAAGTCGCGGTCGATTTTCGAGAGGCGTACTGCGCGTTTCCACAATCGCCTCTTCCAATATACTCCTCATATGCTCTAATTCCAGTTCCTGGGCGACTGTTCCATCATCGTTTGAATCAACCACAACTGGGGTATTCACGGCGGCATCCACGTTTGCGGGTTGCTCTACCATTTGTGGCGCCGTATCCTCAGCCGTAGCATTCTCATCCGACGAGGGAACAGCCTCACGTCGTAGCCGTTCGAGTTCGGCGACATCAAATATATTTGAGCGCAAGATATACCGAACTCGGTCTGCCAGGTTTTGCTCTGTGACGATTAAAGATGGCTCCAGCTCAGCAAAAAGACGATGCATCCTAGCCCGATACGCCAAACATCCAGTTTCTTCCCCTTTTGCCCTAAAGTACGCCCGCAGTGCGTTTGCATTCATTTCTTGTGACCAACGCATGCGACGTGCTCCACCAGCGGCGGGTGCCGCTTGCTGAGTCCGAGAAGACCCAGCCGACACCAAGCCTTCTGGTGGGGATGATGGATGCGGAGGGCTGGTAGATGACCGTGCAGCTCCTCGCGCTCGGCTGGCGGCCCGCATGCTGCCGCGTCCAGCGCCAGCTCCAGACGCGCCCCGGCGACCCCCAGGCAGCGGCCCTTTGCGCACTATCTTTTTATCCATCATCCATTATTTGGGCGTCCATTAACGGGAGACGCCCAGGCCCGGCACCGTTTCGTGTGTAGCCATAAGCACAAACGGGCCTCTGCACCCTAAATTCTGCCGCGGCACGGCGCTCACACCTCTCGCAAGGCGCTGACTGACTGCGTTGACGTAGCAGTTTTGTCACTTAACTGTTACGTCAGCGGGCGATGGGGTCGTCAATTCCCTACGCCTTTTTATTATTATTTATTATTTTGGGGTATCTATATAGTTTTCTCATCTGGTTGGGTGCTATAAATATATAATTATAAATGAAAATGAAAAGACAAATATACATAAATATCAATAACATAAAATAAATATAAAAGTACATAAATAAATAAAAGCCCAACCAGATGGAGGCCCTCGGCAGGGGAGACCAAACGGCCGAGGGTTAGGGGGAAAGGGAAAGAAACCGGCGGACGATGCGGGCGGTATCGAGAAGCACCGCCTTCTGCATTTGAACCTGGAGCGGTCCGCCACGTAGTCCCAGCCGCCTCAGATGACCCGAGAGGCTGACTGGGATTAGCCCGTTTGCAGAGACGACTACAGGAATAATTTCGGTCGGCAGACCACCCCACATGTCGGTCACCTCGTGAGCCAGGTCCAGATATTTTGTTTGCTTGTCTGTTTCGGCTTTCACGAGGTTCTCGTCATACGGAATGGTAATGTCGACCAAAAATATCCTTGACTGTGCCCGGTCCATCAGCACAATATCAGGCTTATTCGCAAGAATAGTCCTGTCTGTGATGATGGCCCGGTCCCAATAGAGCCTGGCGCGATCATTTTCGAGCACGGCTTCCGGCAAGTACTTGTAATACGGCAATTTCCGATCCACGAGACCGTATTTCAGAGCGAGCTCCTGGTGTAGAATTCTGGCTACTAGGTTGTGCCTGTGCAAGTACTCAGAGTTAGAAAGCGCCGAACAACCGGAGATAACATGCCTAAGTGACTCACCGGGATGGCGACAAGCTCGACAGATGTCGACGGTGCCATCCTTTAGGATGTATCTCCGATAGTTGTTGGTCTTAATAACCTGATCCTGTATTGCACAGACAAAACCCTCGGTTTCCCCGAAGAGATCACCAAAGCGTAGCCAGTGGAGGGAGGCTACTGTGTCTACGAAAGGCTCATGTAGAGCCTTGTAGAACCTCCCGTGGAGCTCCTTCTCCTTCCATACGGTCGTCCGGTCAGAAATGCTCTGCACTGCCGGGTCTTGCCATTGCTCGTTGGCTAAGGATAGAGGGGTAAGTCCTTTATCACAAGAAATGACGTCCTTATAGAATGGATCATCCGATCTCGCCAGGAAGTAATCACGGAGGCTGCACACTTCGCGATTATGCATGGTGAGCGCGCTCAAGAAGCCACGACCACCATGCTTCCGCGGCAAGTACAGCCTCATTACCGACGATCTCGGATGATGCATCCTATGGGACGTCATTGTAGTGCGGATTTTTCTATCCAGGGCGTTAAGTTCAGTCTGAGTCCACCTGAGTATGCCAAAGGTATACATGAGGACAGGCATGACCCAGCCGTTATATGCGTGTGCCTTATTCACACCGGACAAAAGGCTGTTAAGCACTTTGGTCAAGCGTGCATAAAACACGTCGCAAACTGACTGTTTCATACCAGTCTCATCGATACCGATGTTTTGTGACATACCCAGGTATCGGTATGTTTCAGCCTCGGAAAGGGTCCTTAAGTTGACGGGCATAGATAAGTCTACGCCCTCAGAGTTAGCAACCCGTCCCCTTTCAACATGGAGGACCGCACACTTATCCGTCCCCAGCTCCATTCCAATGGAATTGCTAAATTCACAAGTGATGTTTAGCAATTCCATAAGATGGGAGCGACTGGAGGCGAATAACTTGAGGTCATCCATATAGAAAAGGTGGGTCACTTTTGTCCCTCCTTTCCGTAGCTGAAATCCCCTCCCGGAGCCCTCCAGTAAGGTACTGAGAGGGTTCAGAGAGAGGCAGAACCAGATTGGACTCAGACAATCGCCCTGGAAGATACCCCTTCTTATCCTTATGTGGTTCTCCGCAGCCATCATCCGCTCGCCTAGATGACAAAGGATCGTACTCCACTGCCCCATACACTGCTCGAGGAAGTCTCTAACTGTACAGTCTATCTTGTACAGCTCGAGGACTCTCTTTAGCCATGTATGGGGCACCGAGTCGAATGCCTTTCTGTAGTCTATCCAGGCGGCGGAGAAGTTCCGACGGTTGCGTTTCACCACTTTGCCAATGACCGCGTCAATGAGGAGTGGTTCCTTGGTTCCACGACCACCGCCCCGACATCCATTTTGAGCGCGCGACATCACCTGATTTGAGTCCAGGTGACAAGTGATTCTCGCGCTCAAAATGGATGTTAGTGTCTTGTATATGGTCGGTAGACACGTGATGGGGCGGTATTTGCTCGGGTCTGTGGTACCCTGGTCTTTAGGAACTAAATGAGTGATCCCAGTAGTGAAGAGGCTTGGGAGCGACTTCTGGTTGAGAGCCTCTTGAAACTGTCGGGCGAGCACAGAGTGACACACCATGAACCCCTTCAGCCAGTAGTGATGCAGCCCGTCAAGCCCCGGACTTTTCCAGTTCGGGGCCCTACGAACCGCCTCAGCTACGTCATCCGGCGTTATGATGACGGGGTCCATGGGCGTAATACCCGCACACTGACTCGCCACAACTTCCGTCCAAGGGCCCTCGCTGTGGTTTACGGGCTCTGACCACAGGCCGCGCCAGAATGCTACAGTGTCGGCCTGATCCGGTGCTGGACCCGTTCCACTTACCATTGGTCGCTCCAATGATTCATAGAGCCTCTTCTGATCACTCTGGAAGAGACGATTCTGGTTGAACCGTGTCGACCTCTCGGTATATCGCCGAATCCGCTTTCCCCAAGCAGCGATTCTCTGCTTCAGATCATCTATGCGCTCCGTCAGTTTTTGCGTTATATCCGGCTGGGACAAACTGACATTTGTCCCAGCAAACGCCATCCTGACGGTGCGCACAATTCTTGGCCTGTTGTTGCCTGATCTGAAGCATATCAGTCTGCCGATGAGAGCTCTAGCCTTTGCGATACGTTCCTCAATTCTTCTTCTCCATGCTGGGATAGCGCTACTATGGCCAGTAGCGCGTCCAGCCGTGGAAACCTTGGCGCCTATGATACGGCAGACTGCCAGCGCGGCGCCAAAAAGAATTGAGTCCGTCTCGCAAAGGTCCCGGCTGGCTTCCAAATAGGTAACCAGCATTGGGTTCAGAGCCCTCACGACAGCCCGATTCCGCTTGCTTAGGGCTATGCGGGGAAGTCGCGGTCGATTTTCGAGAGGCGTACTGCGCGTTTCCACAATCGCTTCTTCCAATATACTCCTCATATGCTCTAATTCCAGTTCCTGGGCGACTGTTCCATCATCGTTTGAATCAACCACAACTGGGGTATTCACGGCGGCATCCACGTTTGCGGGTTGCTCTACCATTTGTGGCGCCGCATCCTCAGCCGTAGCATTCTCATCCGACGAGGGAACAGCCTCACGTCGTAGCCGTTCGAGTTCGGCGACATCAAATATATTTGAGCGCAAGATATACCGAACTCGGTCTGCCAGGTTTTGCTCTGTGACGATTAAAGATGGCTCCAGCTCAGCAAAAAGACGATGCATCCTAGCCCGATACGCCAAACATCCAGTTTTTTCCCCTTTTGCCCTAAAGTACGCCCGCAGTGCGTTTGCATTCATTTCTTGTGACCAACGCATGCGACGTGCTCCACCAGCGGCGGGTGCCGCTTGCTGAGTCCGAGAAGACCCAGCCGACACCAAGCCTTCTGGTGGGGATGATGGATGCGGAGGGCTGGTAGATGACCGTGCAGCTCCTCGCGCTCGGCTGGCGGCCCGCATGCTGCCGCGTCCAGCGCCAGCTCCAGACGCGCCCCGGCGACCCCCAGGCAGCGGCCCTTTGCGCACTATCTTTTTATCCATCATCCATTATTTGGGCGTCCATTAACGGGAGACGCCCAGGCCCGGCACCGTTTCGTGTGTAGCCATAAGCACAAACGGGCCTCTGCACCCTAAATTCTGCCGCGGCACGGCGCTCACACCTCTCGCAAGGCGCTGACTGACTGCGTTGACGTAGCAGTTTTGTCACTTAACTGTTACGTCAGCGGGCGATGGGGTCGTCAATTCCCTACGCCTACTTTATAATTATTATTATTATTATTATTAAATAATTTAATGACAAAAATATCAACCAAAAACTTCAATAAACACAATGGAAAAAAGACAAGCCCTATAAACAATAAGTTACCTATTTAAATTAAAAAAAACTTAGGAATGTACTCAGGAACAAAAGTATTTTTATGAGATCATCGTTTAATAAAAGTCAACTGACCTATTTTGTAAGTCTAACAGCTTTGGTGGACAACCAAGTTTGACATGAAATCATTGTAATATCTGCCTTTAGCAATTAACTATCATCTTATGACATAAGTACTCAGTTGGCTACTTGAACTGTAAGTAATCCAAAACCGTCCAAAATTAGAAAAGGCTATCAATATAGCCAACAAAACGCATTGTTTTACTACATCAAGATAACGAAAAAATAAAAGCATAATCATATAAATAAAGATCAATAAAATTTAGTTTTAATTACTGCACATTATATTCACTTAAATTTATATCAAATATTATCTGACCCCTCCGCGAAATATTTGGTTGAGGCAATACTAGAATTATGTCATTTAAGTACATCAATTCTCAAGTGTCTTCTACATTTGGGTACGTGAACGCTAATTTCTTGCCTTTGGCATTTTTTATTTTTCTTAAGAATTTCACTGCAGGGATTTCATTTTTAACGCTTATGACATGTCCAACGTAATGTTTTAAACTTTTTTGTGGCAAATTTTGCCAATATCCAGTCATCTTTTTTTATGTTACTCGGATTGCCTGTAAAAAACGAAAAATCTTCTTTGTAATCTTCTTTGAATTCTTCTTTGTAATCTTCCTCTAGTAAATATTTTTTGATAAAATCTTCCATGGAATCGTTTTCAGAATTTTCCGTATCTACTACGCTCATAATGTCTGATTCTACTACATATCTATCTAACTTTCTCTTCTTTTTCTTAGATTTACGTTTTCTGTTTTGTATTTGTTTCATGTTTTTGGTTGAACGTTATTTATTTCTATTTCTTTTAGAATATTGTTTTGTTTGGCATTTGATTTTTTTGGCTTAGGATATAACTTCATATGTAGTGCAGAGTCTCGAATTGTTTCAGCACCCAAAATTTTTTTCTTGATATGTTCTTTCTTCCTAGTTGAGGTTATCTTAGCAGTTGAAGTCACTTTTACATCGGAGGTTATAACTAATTTTTTAGGAGAACTGTTTGCAGTCAATTTTACCCCACTTGGAGAATTTTTCGAAAGTAGATTTTGTGTTTGTAAACAAACAGTTAAATCTTTTTCATCATGTGCTATAAACGATACATTTTCTTCGCGACTTCTCAAATTTTCACCAAAAATGCATAGATCTGGCGATTCCGAACCAATATCTTGGACTAATGAATGTATGTAATTATTGATCATATCAATACAAATTGCTTTTAGACTATTTGGATTATATGATAACGACAATGGCACTAGCAATTCATTTCTACTATCATTTTCAGTTGATGTCGATGGAGAATCATTTTGTGTAACTGCGGAACTTACAAGACTTACACGTGATTTTTTGGGATTCTTTTTTACTATTTCCTATCCTATTCCCTGTTTCATGTAATATATACGTCTCTATTTCTTCGTCTGTCTCTATCTTTTCTTCTGTGTTTTCATTCAACATCGGTATCACAATGTCTTCTTCCGTATTAATATGTTTTTTATTCTTATTTGTCGCATTTGTTTTCTTTGTATTATTGGCTTTTATAGAAATATCTTCCAAGCAGACTGACTTTCCTGGTTCTGTTTTCAATGTTTTGCTTCTTTTCACTGTCATTGGATTTGGTGATCTTGTTTCTTTCAAATACTCTAGTAAAGCATTGTCTATTCCATATTTCACTTCGTCATATAGTTCTAGTATTCTCTTAGTAACATTGATTGGATTGAGAGGCCAAATACATGTGGCTCTGAAGCCGCTTTTAATATTTTTTGTTTCCCTCAGCTTTATTTTTTCAATTAGTTCCGCCAGCAATTTAGGAAAATGTTTTTTATTGAGTTTGACCAGGATTCTTGACTTTATATTCAAGTAGAATTCTTCTCCACTCCCTTTTCAGTGGACCAAAAAACGAAACATCCAGAGGTTGGGTTAGATGAGTGGAATTTGGTGCTAAAATACCAATCGAATATCATGTTGTTGACACAACTCCACGACTTCAATATTTATGTGGCTCGACAAATTGTCGCCAATGACGACTTTTGGGCCTGATATTTTCTTCGCCCATTGAACTATTATTGTTTTAAAATAATCCTCGAAGGCATCAGAATCGAACCAACCAGATTTGGTGCAATTATATCGTGTCCCACAAGGGCCTCCCTCCACCCATTCAGAATATAAATTTGTGGCTTTGTAGACAACATAAGTTGGAAGACAGGTCCCATCTGCACATACCGTAAACATAATTGATATGCAACTCTTAGAGCTATTAAGTACCCGCTCTGGGTATTTGACCCCTCATCTAAAAATGCACCTGGCAGTGCCTGGATTGTCTGCCAAGTTGGTTTCATCGTAGTTCAAAATGTTTGAAGGTGGTACACCGTTAAGAGTTTCTTTCAAATTGTCAAAGTAAACTTCCATTTCTTCCAAGCTTTTTTCGACTCGGACTTGTTTTATATTTTGGGTTGTTCCAAAGGACAATTTAGACAGAGCCTCATTAAAAAAATTTCTACCCAGGCATCACCAGGCATTTTATTATTAAATAAATCCGCTCGGGAATTCTTTTGTAAATATTTATGAACTAGTAACTTTAAATCCAATTTAGTCATTGGACTACCAAAGTTTGCGGCAGCAATTAGTACACCGACTAACTTTTCCTCATCTTCGTCCGTAATTTTTTTTTCTCCCCGTGGAGTTCATATGCACCTTTTTCATTTTATTTAATAAAGTTCGACGTGGAATGCCGAACTACTTTTCGGCATCCCTACTGGAAATTAATTTTTTTTCTAACATTTCAACGGCAACTTCTAACATCTCCGTCGAATAATATCTGTATCGTCGAGATCCCAGTTTTCTTCTATTTCTTTTCTTTCGCGATCAACTCTCCATGTTCATTCTGAAAACAAAAAACATTATGGTGCTTTATCTAACTTTTACACTCATGAAATAAACTTTCACAAAGACAAAGGAAAAATGGAAACACATACAAAACGTGTTAAGGAATAAGTGCACGTCCTCTATAAAAAAATCTGCTATTTCATACATTCTGGTCTAGTACCTATGTATTGACAATTTGTATGAAACAGTTGATTTTTTTTTAGTTGCAGAGTCGGCCCATAGTAAAAGTTGTTCATATCATGATTAAAATCATCACATAAAAGGTTGTGCGCTTATTCATTAACAAGTTGTATATAACGACATGTCATTCAATGTTTCAGCATATAAATATCGAATTATAAAGTTACTAAGTTATGTAAGCAGATTATAATATGTATAACTTTTTATAGGGGATTTTCTGGTAGGTAGCTTAGTTCAGAAAAAAATCTTAGTAAAATGGTTACTTAGGTAAGTATTGACGTCGTTAAAATAATTAATTGTAGAAAATACTAATTGATCTGGGAGAGCAGAAAAAAAAACTTCTATTGTTGTTTACTAGGGTACTTACATTGCCTCTTTGCAATGACAACTTTTTTCTACACAAAAGGTTTTTTTTATTATATGCTCGAAAAAAATCGATATCGCGGTTTCGAATTTGAAATAATAAAAAAAAGCATAAACATGCTTTTTTGTGTGAAAGTGATGTCACATTGTCATCGCAAATATCATTTATTTATAGAAAATCCCCTATTCTGTGACCTTCTATACATACTTTTTTGTGCGTAACATTAGTGCCTAAATACAACAACGTAAAAATAAAATATCAAAGTTTAACGTATTACGTAACTCGCATAACTACGTTTAAAAAGCTTAACAAATTATTACAAATATATTAATTAGGTAAACTTAAAAAAAATGCAGAAACACAAAATTGACAACCCTGATGTTAGAATTTTGGTGGGCAAAGTTGCCAAGAGGTGAAGTGAGAACGCTAAAGTAACTTTGGCCACCGCCGTATTTATCATTTGCGGAGACATTTCGCCGTTTATTAATCATCATTCGTATTTATTTTTAGTATATTTACAATATTTAAAACACTACTTACCTGCTGCAACTGCAACTTCGACTTTTTATTGAAGTTTTCACACAGAATTTCGCCCGCCGAAAACACCACCAATTTTGACAAGGACTGACAAGTCAATAAAGTCAAGTAAATGACAATTCGAGTGTTAGTGTTGCCAGGAATAAGTTGAATTTTGTACCACAGATTAAATAACTGCTAACTAACTAAATATTATAGATATTTTTTCGGTTTGTTGAAAAATGCCCTAATGGACAAAGTTACACTGCTTGGGCAAACTTGCCACGTTTTACGGTACTAATTTATCAATACTACAGTGTGCAAAAAGTCTCATCATTTTCGAAGTAACGCTACTAAAAGTACAACTTTTTCCAAACAGAAGATAAGTAATTAAAAATAAAAATGATTTTGTGAAAAATAATTGTATTGTGACCAATTGTGCAAATCATGTTAAAAACATCCCTACTTATCTAGCTACAACGAAGTATCAATTTAGTGTAACTTAAATAGTAAGAAAAAACTTGAAAAAAGGGGCCAGGTAGACAAGTTCCAAGTAGCAATGTTTTGGGTAATCCCAAACAATCGCTTCTCGGAACCTTATCAACAGCTGCGGGAATGCTCGTAAAAGATTGAGCGTTTGAACTTACGCTATTGTTTACATTTAGTGTGAAATTAGAAACTAGTTAAACAAGAAGAAACTGTTCAATCAGTCATCAGTATTACAGGCATCGTACACACGCGCGCATATCCCTCCCTGTTACACTTAGTTGAGTAGTTGAGTTTCAAAGTTTTATGGCGGCGAAACCACCAAGACGCGGAGATCATGCAAGGCAATCATTTTCCAACGAGGAATACGCAGATATCTTTTATCTCTATGGATATTGTGACGGTAACGAAGTAACGCTACTAAAAGAACAACTTTTTCCAAACAGAAGATAAGTAATTAAAAATAAAAATGATTTTGTGAAAAATAATTGTATGTGATCAATTGTGCAAATCATGTTAAAAACATCCCTATTTATCTAGCTCTAGAATGAGGTCAGGTAGTCGAGTTCTAAGCAGACAAAGGGATTTATTTGTGTTTTATTTTTAACCAATATTAATCTCCTTCTTCCATCACATGCACTGGTGTGTAGTGGTACGTATAAAGCCCCGCAGTATGCACAGTAGACCAGACCTTCCACTGCGATACACCTAAGCGACGAGCAACTATGTTCGTGGAAGTGGTTGGATCTTCTTGAAATTTACTCAAAATTTCTACATCTTCTGTGACATGGGGTGGTCGGTGATTAGGGTAGCGCTGTAGGTATTCACGGCGAGCAGCTGCAGCGTCACCGCCACAATATCCATAGAGATAAAAGATAAGAGAAGTAGGGATGTTTTTAACACGATTTGCACAATTGGTCACATACAATTATTTTTACAAAATCATTTTTATTTTGTTTGGAAAAAGTTGTACTTTTAGTAGTGTTACTTCGAAAATGATGAGACTTTTTGCACACTGTAGTATTGATAAATAAATATCCAGGTTTTCATTAAGTAAAAATAATAAAATGAAAATAATACAGCTGTAAGTTTTTTTTTAGAAATTTTTGACACCAGACTTTTGGGGTTTTTGAAAAAAATAATTAATCCTAAATATCTCGAAATTGGTCCACATTTGCATAATGCATTTTATGGTTCATTTGATAGGTTAAGACCCCAACTATCACGCCTTGGCGGGAATACGTCGAGTTACCAGTAACCCGTATATACTTGACAAAAATAAGATACATTAATCCTTTAAACACAATTAATAACGCGCAAATAAACACAATTTCAATGAAACTACAAGTTTTATGAAAAAAATAACATACCTTTCCAACAATTCAATCAAGTCATCGATGAATTTATTGATACTACTACGTAGTACTGTTATTTACGAGTATTCTGTTATCCTACTGACTTGTATGAACGTAATGTATCTACCTTTTGGCACGGCTTCTTCAGTAACGTCACCTTTCCAAAAGACTAGTTGTACTTTATTATATTTGGTACATTTTTACGCCAACAGTTAATTTTTTTATTCGTGTCACGCTTTGATTGATATTTATTTTAGCCTATGTTCGCCTACCAGATAAGGTTTGTCTGAATTTCATTAATTAAATCCATTGAGTTATAATGTACTACGTACTAGAGAAGCTATTCCAAACAAAAATTGTGCGCTACTTCTATGTCTTCGCGCATGCGCGGTAATAGTAGAGTCGCGCATGCGCAGTTGGTATAAACGCGCTTTGCGCTTGCGCGGTCAGTTTTTGTTATTATAGATTATACGTAAGTAGAATGGTCAGTATGTAATAATTGTTTATTTATATTGTATTGTTAATTATATCGAGTACTTACAATTTTTTTAAAATGTTTTTTATTTTGTATATGTGCTAATTTAATATAATATTACATAATATTATGTCAGAATTACATTTTGATGATATTGTTATCTGAATATTTTAAAAGGTATCTATGTCAAATATAAAAAAACGTACTAAATGTATGTTTAACAAAACTTATTAACATAAAATTTAAATTACAAATATATTTATTTAAATTAGAATCATAAATGTTGTAAATAATCGTTCATAAATGCTGGGCACGCGAGAGTTAAAAATGGACGAATTTATTCCACTTTGACTTTGAAGTGGAAACCTAAAAATAAAATAAAAGAATAATAAGCAGATTTAAACATGAAAAATTTAGCTTAATTATAATAACTTATATGTTTCTACAAAAAAAAATGTGTAGTATAATAATATATTCGTCCTAAACTTAAGTACCCACAGAAATGTCGCATCTGAACATATTAATTTCATAATCTATATTCAATGATACGAGATGGCGTCTTAGGAATAATTTGCTTTATTATTAATTTATAATACTTTTTTATTGAATAAGTATCTTATTAACCGATGAAAAGTAATTCCTTGGTTTTTACTGACATTTCTTGAATTATTTGTGCAATATCTCTAAGTACACAAGACGGCATATTTTTATCAAGAGATTTTTTTTAAATCAACACAACACGTGACAACTCTACAAGCGCCTAGCGAGTGACTGATTAAAGTGCAGTGCATGCACCGCAGTTGAGTGGAACAGAGTAGCTGAATGCAGTGTCTCCTCTAGTACGTAGTACATAATAGCTCAATGATTAAATCAAAAAAAGTTATTGGTACTGCCAACAGATTATTTTCCGATTTAGACATTAGACCTTAAGGTGTTATTTATTTATTTATTCTTTTTTGTACACCAAAATACTAGGCTGCATTAAAAGTATCAGGAATAGAATATTTCCACTGTTCCTGTCATATTAAAATCCTTTTAATTGAAAACTCCTTGGTTTTAAAAATCGAATACCATTTATTTATTTTAAAAAAATATTCTCGGTCTTGTCACAAGGTTTTGTCAAACTTGTTTAGTCGTTGAGAAAATG